TATTTAAATAAGGTGTATGAAGGTATAAGGTATAAGGTGTATGAATTTAAATAAGGTGTGTAAATATTTAATAAGTCAGGTTCCGCATATTCGTACCTTCTTGGTAGGTTCAAATTACGACATCGGTTCCTTCATTCAGAATGAGATAAATGGGATAGAAAAATATTTAATTATTTTAAAATAAAGGAAAAATATTTAAATAAAAAAAAATATTGAACGGACTAATATTTAAATAAGGTGGAAAAATATTTAATTGATTTTTAATATTATTCGTTTAATATTTTTCTTTTAATATTAGTCTATAGACTCGGTGAACGACGTTTCTTCCAGGAGAAATTCATGTGATTTTTTCTATCGATCTGACAAAAGAAGTCATGGTACATCTATGTATTGAAGAAAAGGAAAAAAAGATCATAGAGACTCTCACGACATATAGAAAGGACAAGATCATCATACTATATTGAAAGAGAGAGTGAAGAGAAAAATAATGAAGAAAATAAGATTGGCAATGACTCACAACTATAGAAGATGAAATCTAACTTACCTTGTAATGTTTCTTTTGACACTTTACGGTTCATTGATTGCAATAAAGTTTCTTCGTGGTTGAACTGAAATCATAGAGAAAAAAAGTTAAAAAGGATCGAGTTGATGGTGTTTCGTTTAACTCGTTAAAAAATATCTCTATGATCCCAATCTTTTAACTGAATTATTTATATATATCCTTGTAGCTCTTTTCACGGGCTACCCATTATACTAGGAACGGTTTGTAATTCGAGTTTCCATAGAGGCGGAAAAAGCAACAGAAGTGCAAAAATACAGATTATTAAACTGCCGCTGAACTTATGATGGAGATTTAACCACTATTCCAAACATTTTGAATTAAAAAATCAATTATTCATACATATTCTTGTAGTTTTTTAACGAGCTATAGATTGCACTACAGTCTGTGATTGAAAGTTAAATGGTACGGAAAAATACAAAATACCGTGACAGATAGAAATAAAAACGTAGATCCGAAATGAATTTTGGATAAAAAATAATAGTTCTTTTTATTTTCAAGTATCCATTTGAACATATTCCTGATCAGATCACCGAACTCTATCGATCGGTATCTTTGAAAAAAGTTCTATTCGCATTTTCTACCGAAAAGTTGCGAGTTTTCCTCTTGAGTATAAAAACACCGAGATATGTTTTTAGATCCGTCCTATACGATGGAAAAACCGTCTATGTTAATCTGACCATCATCAACGACATTGCTCAAGAAAGTTTCCAGTAGTACGACCAATAAGATTATCTACAGCTAAAAAGCTTTTAAAAGCATTGATATTGCCTCTTTGTCCTCCAGCATTATGAAATGTTCGCGAAAAACATAGTGGGCAGATTTGACTAGGCACGTGGATATGTGCAATAAAAGTGGTGCGAAAGTCCCTAAACACTCCTATAGGCTTTCGTATGTGCTCTTTTCAATGGCGTGATTTTCAAACTTTCAAAGTATGTTGGTACAGATTCTTCAAAGATCCGGTTTCTGAAAACCAGTACGAACATACTTTGAAAGTTTGAAAAACATCCCCCTCATATCACCGGAACAAAAAAAATAAAGTTGATTTAGAGTTGCTGAAAAGTGATTTTTCGTATTCATCACACTCGATAACCCAGAAGATTTTCTGTTTTTGGCTCGGGGTACTTCCGAAAGTTTAAGAAAAATTTTGAAACAAAATATCGCAAAAAGTTTTTCATGGAAAAATAATATTAATTTGAAAACTTTTCCTAAACTTTCGGAAGTACCTCGGGCCAAAAACAGAAAATCTTCTGGGTTATCGAGTGTGCTGAATACGAAAAACCACTTTTCAGCAACTCTAAACCAACTTTATTTTTTTTCCGGTGATATGTAGAAACAGCGTATTACGACAAAATATACGCAGATGACTGTTTAGAGATTTTCGTACCACTTTTCTAGTACATGTCCACGTGCTAAGTCAAAATTGCTGTGTCCGTAAACTAAACCCGTCGTATTACACTGGATCGAAATACTTTTTATTCAGAAATACTTTATATGCACATCATTCGATGTAGTTTTATGCGCTGATTTCAAATATGTAATTAGTTTTGTATAAAAGTGCTCCTGGGCCGAGACAAATGAACTTAACCTCGAAAACCAAGGGATTTTTAGAAATCCTATGATCTGGTTCAGAGTCTTTTAGAATACTTTGGGCTAACATCATATATGTACCGAAGATTTTTTAAAAATTTCATCGAATTCAAAGCTTGGGGAAAAATGGGAAGCTCATTACAACGCTTAGTGTCGCTTCTGAAAACGCTTAGTGTAGATAAAAAAAATTATTTTCTCTCTGCCGAGTATCCAAATAAAATATTTTTATGAATCAATAGGCCGAGTGGTCTACTTTTAGAATATGTATAATTTTACAGATATTTTCTGGTTTCGAAAATAAAACCTTCTATTCTCGCACCACGAAGTTTTTGGGTAAAATTTTCACTACGCATTTTCCGACTAATTGTGGCAACTGGACACACAAATTTTGAATGCCATTGAATAGTCTATATTTCAAAGTATATTTTCTACTATTTGAATATTTAAAAAGTACACTTTCATTTTTCCACCTAATGTACACGCGACTACCCACTGTGAAAAGGGGCTTGGTCTTATCCGATGAGGGCAGAAAAATAGGGAGAATCATTGATTATAAATATTTTCATAGGTGGAGAACTCCGAGATTGTTGATACAGTTTGCCATTCATCAGGAATTCTCCAGGAAAATCTATTTACAGAATAGCTAACTTGGGATGTTGCCCACTACTCATACTGTGATGTTAATGATAACAATGAATTATAGTATTTTATTTGATAATTGTTTATCATATCGAGATGAAAACGAGTTTAAATTATTTAAGTTTCATTTGTGGATATTTATTTTTAATTATTGTAATCAAATGTTTCATTTTATCTGTTTCTGTTGACTATGAAATATTGTAGGTGGAGACATATGAGTGAATCGTATTTTAGTTGTACAATTTGTGGGAAAAAATGTAAGTAACTTTATCAAAAATCTGAGTCGATCAGACTATTCTCCATAATTTTCTGAGTACCAGGTAAAAATTTCCAAACTACCAAAGGTCTACCGGCTGAGATAATAGAAGTACAATTTCCTAATGTATTAAATTAACGGTGACCCGTGATATTTTCAAAATAACTTCTAATAGAAACAAGATAGAGACCTACGATTTACGCAGGACCCCTCTAGGCAGCATTATCTACTAGCTTAGCAGCAATTGAGCGGGAAAAAATACCTGCAGGTGTTGTACCCGTTGGAATTGTTCTTGTCAATAAACGCTTTCAGAGAATCTTTGCGATTTTTCCGGCTTATTGGTAAATACTTCGAAAGCTTTTGTTTTATGTAGTTCTGTTCGCTCTACTAGAAAGAGCGTGTTCGAAAACCCATTAAAGTTTACTTTTCTCAGTTCTGTACAGCTATGGATAGGAAAAAAGTTCGGAATGAATCTCTCCCTACAAAAAAGTCTCCCTACATTTTGCGGCATAACGCGAAGTTTACTAGGAAGACATCAACTTTAAGTGCTGAAATTTTTACCACTCATACAACTTCCCACCTGCTTCTGGTTCTGAAAGTTTGAAACAATTTAGATACAATCTCATTGGCTTATGGACAACGCAAGTTCCAAAATCTCTCCCTACAAACTGAGTGAAAAACCTAAACTTAGTCATTTTTGGACCACTTAATAGGCGTTTAGTAAAATATTTTTGTGTGTTTTCCGGAGTGTTTTTGATGCTCTATCTCATGGTGGAATGAATTTTACGCTTAAATGCTGCCTAAATCCGTTAGACCGATTTTGGTGTCTCCCTACAATTTGTACGAAAAACTTAATTCTCTAAAAACATCTGTGCCAAAGTGCTGAAGCGAAATTGTAAATAATATGGATGGATAGAGAATTTTCCGCTCTACACGATCCACTGGTCTGCTTTTTCTTTATCATCTGTCTTTGATGTGAAAATCGCGTTTTTATTCATGCTAGTCAAGATAAAAACGCGTTTTTCTGCTTTTTCATGCGTGTATCTCACTCACCTGAAAACATAGAATGCTCAAAATTTTATCGGTAGTGAGAGGTGATGAGATGAGTAAAATAAAAAGAAAATTTTACGAATCCGACAAACCACTACGGATTTATGGCAGAAACGGTACTAAACAACCAATTGTACAATTAATATACGATTCACTCATATATTCAGCAACCGAAGTAATACTGGGTAATGAAAATTCTAGTAAAGAATCAGGATTATTTGGTGAAGCCTGACTAGAAACAAGATTAATAAGTTATTGTTGTTCAGTTACAAGTAATTCGTGTTGATGAAGAAGGAGACTAGTCATTTTGGTTTTAGATTGAAATAGCTCTACATCTCACTTATCATTAACGTTCGGAGTGTCAACTTGAAAAGGCTGGAAGTAAATTAGGATCTCGCATCTAAAACAACGAGAAGTGCGCAAAGGTGCTCCACCTCTCTGTCTCTTTAATGTGTTTAATATAAATCCTGTGGCTCTCGACTCTAATGTGCGGAAAATAAACTTTGAGGATACGAGGGAATAATATACTAGAAAGAGGGTATTATGCATAGATATCAGATTTGATCTGTTTCAGAACGAAAAGTGGTTGCTCAAGATGGAAGAACTATTATTACTAGAATCGAACAAAAGGAACACAATGGATTTTTAGTTAGACTATTAAAAGAAGTTTACTGCAGGCGTCTGATGAGATATTTCAGAAGTTTATTTGTTCGATTTTGTTCATCAGTCCAGATACTTTTTTCTGTGTTCAAGATGTTTGCGTAAGACAATCGTTTCTTCCACTAACGCTACCATTCCCGTATATTATTAGTGAAAGACGTCACAGTCAACGGTTTAATTTAATTTCTGCAATCTACTGAGAAATGTAAATCTTTTGATTTCAATGAATATTAATCATCAAACATCTTAAACTGCTGAATTGAAAGCTGTTGAATTAATATGTTTGTTCATAAAAAATGTTTCTGGCCAAGTTAAAATATAACTTTGATTATTATTCATGAGCACTTTTGGTAATAGGACATCCAATTTTTCATCAATTGTACCTTTGATTTTATTGATTAGCACTGTTGTTTGATAAGCAAATGTTCGAATTAACTTTTCTTCAAATGGTGAATTCTTCCACACCGTTATGAATTGAATAAAATGGTTATTTAAATAATGATAGAATCTATTAAAATTATCTGGAATCATTATGATTAATAGACGAGATAGAACACGTTTAAATGTGTATGTGTCTAGGTCGTCTAGAATAATTTCATTCGATGTTGATTGTAATAAGTTGGTGAAGTTTCGTATGCGTATCTCGTTTATATTAGCATAATCGATCGCTTTTAATAAAATGTGAAATTTTGTATCCATAAATAGTTGTTGTATAAACGCATAATAAGATTGAATGGCATTCTTATTGAGATAATCTATTAGGGCTGCAAATGAATGCTGATTTTTTAAAAGATATTTTAAAATATTTTCAGCATTATCAATTTGTTTCACTATTCCGTTTATCAAAAAAGCGTTAATTAGATATTCAATCACTTTCAGTATATTTTGTTGAAGTAAATTTTGATAGTTTTGCAAGAACTGCAAACTAAAATAAGAAGTATCACGTTACCATTTACCATAGCATTATCATCGATAGAAATTTTTTTTACCATTAACATTATCATGAATGTTTTACCATTACCATTACTGTGGTAATGGTAACAGAACATATTCCCACAGAAGGGAAAGAAAAAACATAAACACGTGTGTAAGTTACAAAATAAAGAATATGTAAGATGATGGACTAGCCTGAACGTTATATAACGTTTGACTGTATTATGTACACTCAAGTCATATATGATACCATTTATAATAAAGAGATGGTATGATTATGAATTGGAATCTGAAAAGTATCCGTTACCATTAGCATTAGTATTACCTTAAATATAAATTGTTGTTACCATTTATCATCTATTACCAGGAATTAAAATCCTTTTATTATGGTAATGGTAATGGTAAGGTAATGATTTTTGCATATTTCGCATGGTAATTAATAAGTATTGTTACCGCAGGACTCTACATGGAAGTGCCTTGCTTTTTGTTGTCACGTTGACTGTGGCGCACTTAGGGCACTTCGTGTGCCCTAAACCTCACCAAAGGGTACTTTTTTTTCGCAGTGCACTATCTGTCCTAATTCTAGTCAACAGAGATAAAGATCTTCTTATACTAACCCTTACGAGAGGGTCCGTGAGAAAACTGACCACATCACTCGGAGCTAAAATTTTTTTTTGTTCTTAGTATTCTAATTCGAAAGAGCACATCGAAAAACAGTTCGTTAAACGAAAGTGAGTTTAAACGCATTTTTTTCATCTGATTCAGAGAGAAGCGGTTTCTGACTCTATTAAAGAAAAGAAAACTTTGGAATGAAGAAAAATATTTATAGTCTGATACACGTGTATAACACGAAGAAAATTGCGTTTAGACGAGCTAAATCTTAAATCGTATTGACCACCGATATTTCCTAAAACTTTTTCATGAATAATTCCTTTTTTCTGCTGGACAGAACTTACAAATCTTCAAAAAACTTTAGTCTAGAAAATGTACACTTCGCATGATCCTTGAGCATTGCATGCTTAAGAGAGGGTCCGTGAGAAAACCGACCACATCAGTCGGAGCTAAAATTTTTTTTGTTCTTAGTATTCTAGTTCGAAAGAGCTCATCGAAAAACTAAGAAACCCAAGATATCTCGCCTTCGTATAGTGCTGTTCATGAATTAGGGGTCTTCATTTTTTAATCATCACCAGAAGCTCCATTTGTGGATGAAATCAATGTTTCTTTATCGTTTTCATAATCTGCGTATAATTCCCCGTATGAAACTGACTCTAGAAATATTATTTAGAGCTTGATTCAATATCATATGGCCAAAGCAAAAATTCATAATCAACTAATTTTACAAAACTATCTAGCTTTTCTGTTAACGGATGGAGCCGTGATTTACACTGCATTCGATTCGTGTTTACACGGGCAAAAAGGTATGGAGAGTTTTTTTTAAAATTCCTTTCCATTGCGGAGAAAATTCATTTTTTTTTTAATAAGATGCGAAAAATTCGCAATTGTGCCCGTAATTCTCAATTTGCTGTATCAGAACTCAAGTTTTATGCAATAAAAATATCATATTTGGAATCAGAATCAAAAGCTGGACCGAATTGTATTTCGATCCTATCTGACTATTTTAATTTTTTTAGAGTCAGAAACCGCTTCTCTTTGAATCAGATGAAAAAAATGCGTTTAAACTCACAAATTTAGTCATCTTTCGTTTAACGAACTGTATAAAATGAGTGCGTCTAGATACCGATAGTACACATTACTTTCAGCCCTGGTTGTCTTACTTGTTTAAATAATCCTGTAGTCCATTTTCGATCAGCGAACCCAATTTAAAAACATGATCAATAACTTTTTCACTCATTGTTTTAACTGTGACCAGCATAGCTCTTACATCCGGATTTAATTTTAGCTCATCTAATAACTGAGTACCAAATTCACCGTGTTCTGCAGTAAAATCGTCTTTAAGAGTATTCAAAAATATCGTTAGATCATTTAGAAATATATCTGTTGTATTATTGTCATATTGGTCGTTGACAATTAACTGTAGATTAAATAATTTCTGAAAGTTCAATCGAACAGTCTCAACCATACTATTGCGTGTTAACATTGGGGACACCTACATGAACGACAAATAAGTAAAATTATATGCAACTCATCCCGTTTACTATATCAAAATCACTAATGTCTATAGAGAATATTATTTTAAATATATCCGATCAAGAATAAGCTGACAATAGATTGCTTACTTTTTGTTCAATATTATTCTTAATGTATTCATTATCTCTATATAACTGTATAATGGCAGATGATTTTTCTTTGCCTTTAAAAACAGAAACACTTGCTACGCTTTTGTTTGTTGTTTGATCATTTAGACATACGAGAAACAATATGTTTGTACGAGGATTACTAATGTTTAATTCATAATTTGGACTCGTTAACATTTTTATATGGCGCTGTGATTTATCCAACATGATATCAATATATTCCAAATATTTTCCATTTGACTTTTTTATGTAGAATGCCGAATGAATTATATCTGTTGATAATGATTTTGGTATTAGTATTTTCATTTCATACGAATCACCATACAATGGCGTAAACATAATAACAGTTCGTATTGCATTCACCTCTGTTTGAATAACATCAATCAGCAACATTGTAAAGTTGAGATTACTTCTTGATTGCAAATAGGTGCCAATTTTAAACTGATTATTTTTTAAATTTAAATAGTCTAAACGAAAACTTAAGTCTGTATTCGTGTGTTCATGTTCTAAATTCATTTTTAATCTAAAACTATCTGTTTGGTTCTTAGAAAACAGAAGATGAAATACAACGGGTTTTGGTTCATTTGAATATATTGTTTTTATTGTAAAATCTTTTTCATCTTTATTAAATTTCATATTAATCTCAAATTTTAACGGTGCTAGCATCTCTTCTTCATCCGGTGATTTTATATTCAGTGTTCCAGTCAACATCTTTGTTGTGGGATTATATTTTATATTCCAGTCAAGATATAATCGTCCATCGTTACCATATAAGAATTTCCATCGTTGTTTCATGACAATTATTCTAGAATGTTCTAGACCAAAAGCTAAACTTCCTTCAATCATCAAACGATCTTGAGACGTTTTATAACCAATTTTAAATTTTCGACCACGCACCAAGGAAAACTGAGATTTTTGTAGTGGTAATAATTCAAAAAAATAACTTTTAACATTAGATTTATCTATGTAATAGTCTAATCCAATATCGAAAATAGGAGTTTCAATATCGCGGCCATGAATATAAAATCGACCATTTTTGAAATATGTCAATGTAAATCCTTGTTCCTCAATATGATTCATATTTCGAACATACCGATTGTGACCATGTATGTAGAGTCCGTTTTTTTTTGAATGATTTCCTATCAGAGAAATTTCTCGACTACTTTCATTCACAAAAACATTTGCTATTAATTTTAATTCATTTTTAGAGTAAACAATTAAAATTGTCTTATTAACTACGGACTGTAGATTACTTTTAATATTCAATGATAGGCCACTGTGATTATTGATTATGCGTTCAATTTTTATCTCATTAAAAAACTTTAGCAAATTTAGTTCATTGTATCGTACAGAATGATTGTAATTAGTCAATGTTATCGAAGACAAACTAAACAACAAAATATGATTATACAAAAGAGTTAGCTACAATTAATAATCTACCATCTAATATGGATAAGTTTAGTTAAACATAATAGACGAAAAATCACAAGTAACATTCATTATGTCGACTATCTTGGCTGAAGACTAAAAGGATCACAAAATGTGAGAAAAAAATTATATTGTTGGACAGAGGAAATGACGGGAAGAATTTTGTGATACGAGAGAGTCCAAAGATTCCATATTCTCAATTCTATACTATTTCTTCATTAGAATTTGAAGTTCAAGATAAGAATTGGAAATTTTAAAACATATTCGACCATAAAACTCTTCACTTTCTTGAACACACGTGAAAGTTTATTAAAAATAGAAATTTTTAATCTATTTATACTGTCCTTGTTAAATACATATCAATTACAAAACTGGTACATCGAGACGATTGGCAGAAATTGGTACACTGAGGAACTTCCTCAAAGAGAAAAAAAACGGATGGACATATACTTTTGAATAAGTGTTGAACACTTATTCAGAAGTATATGTCCATTCGGTTTTTTTCTTTTCGCCATGTCGTGCATAACAAAAAAGTATTATCAGAAAATTAAATAATTTTCTTTTCGAGGAGATGAAAGAAAATGAGAATGAATAACCTTGTGAGGTCAAACACCTCTTGTCAACTTTCGACTTTGTGGTAGTTTTCTAATCTTCAAAAACTAAAAGAAGAATATTAGTGTTTTTAATAAGGAATAATAATATTTTAACAGCAGCTGTATGTAAACTCATTTAAAAATGTATTTATTTTGACATTTCGAAAAACATTATTTTTCAATTTCAAGAAATATGAGATAAAATAGTTTACAAATAAATTATTATGAATGATTAATCAATTCCATTTGACACCTTAGATATAAGCCGTTCAACACACGTTCTTCAGACTACTTCCTAATTGAGACCACTCTTTTGGTAAAAAGTGATCTCAATTTGGAAGACTCGGTTCTTCATTCTTTTATTTACACAGTGGAGAGTGAAATGTACTGCGTGGAAGTTGGTGTCATTATACTTTCTGTAAAGTTTATTCTGCTCTATTATTTAATTTTTTTTATTTTCTATAAAAACAGTTTTCTTTATGTTATCTATTTTTTTTCGCCGGATGCTTGTGCCATACTAGTCGAGTTGGACGAACAAGTTCATCATAATTTATTTTATCTCATATTCCTTGAAAATTGAAAAGAAATGTTTTCGAAATGTTAAAGTAAATACATTTTTAAATGAGTTTACATAAAGTTGCTGTTAAAATATTATTTATACTAAAAGAAGAAAGAGCTTAACAGGCTAGAAAATAATGTAAGCTTTCAACCAGTGATGGATCATCCTAACGTTAAAAAGGATCTATCAGGTTGCAGTTACTCTCCAAAAAGGTAATCACCATCATAAAAATAGGCTGAAAATTTCTATTTTTAACAATTTACATTTTTTAATAAACTTTTACTTGTGTTCAACAAAGTGAAGAGTTTTGTGGTCACATATGTTTTAAAATTTCTATACCATTCCCTTTGTGTTAATAGAATAATAACGAACATTTTTTCTTCGAGAATCTCGCGCATCGATGGTTCAGAAATCACAAACAACCGAAGAAACTGGTTGTCTGTCATAATATCCAAAAGTAGAGAGTGTGACATATGGTAAATTAGAGGAAGATTTTAATTGAGAATTCATCGCATGATCGAGGAGAGTCATCGTTGAGATCGAAACGCTAGTATATAAGGTAAAAGTAGAAGAATGAGCACATGAGAATCGATAATTGACTGATGGAGACGAGAACGCAAGCGATAAATGTTGAACAGCATAGCAAATCCTCTTGAACAGTAGCTAGAACTCTCGATCGGCGCAGTATCAAACAAGGATTTTAATTGATACAGTTCACTAACGAAAACAGGATCGTTGTAGTGCAAGAAAAAGACACTAAGACACTGAACTCGGATTTCTAGATCATAACAGACGATATATGGATAATATTTAGACGAACTGTTCTGCTTACCTTTTTGTGGTTTGATGAATATAAACATTACCAGTTAAATCTCTATTCCTTATTATATCTTTTAATGTAAAACTAATATGTTTCTTGGAGTTATTTAGTTTCAAGTTTTGACCATTAAAAGTCCATGTCTCATTGATAAGATCATTGAAATGTAAGTTAGCTGAATAACTAGTATGATCTTCTCCATATGTTTTATTCATCACGTTTAAATGTTGAGAAAAAAATAAATCTGTATTTGAATATTTATGGAAGACTTTTATAATCGTCTGGAAATTATTAGAATCATTAGAGGCATGTTCAATAGCAATGTCAAAACAAACATCATTTAAATCTTTTTTAAACAATATTTGAAAGTTAAACGGCCATAATTCATCGTATTCACGTTTAGATTCGATTAATTCTACATAATGCCCACTAGCAAACATAAAAGAACGATTCTGTTCTCCTTTGATCATCCCTTTCACGATCATTGTAGGCATTTTAGCACCAATAATAAACTTTCCTGCTAATTTCTGTTGATGAAGTTGACCAGTAATATTCCAACATAATCTCACCTTTTTACCACTTGGATCTAATTCTTCACATTGAGTAATATTAATTGTGTATTTATTTTCAATCAATCGAACATAAATATCCATTATTTTTGTTTGGTAACAATATATATTCTTACATGGGAAATGTAGTTTTATATTTACTTCATAAATCTCATCAAAATCATCGTATAATCGTTCACGACGAAATAACACTTTACCATGATTTTTATTCACATGTAAAATATATTTTGATTTAGAATCATGTAGACGAAATATTTTCTCAGCTGTTCTTGTATCCAGTTCAATAGCAGTAAGAGGAAAATCATGTACAATTGTCGATACATTCCAAGAGAAATATGAAGTTGTCCAGGATGAGTGCATTGTTGTCAAACCATCATTTAAAACATAATAGTGGCCGATAACATAAGTTGGACGACTTTGAATGATCAGATAAGGATTACACTTGAAAAAAGAAGAATCGGGTATGTAGCATCTCTAATTTTAATCATACTTATATTTACTTGTTGTATAATGTCTTGATCATCTTCAAACGTTGAATTATGTGTATTGAATCTTTCCAGTAGTAATCCAACTATCAAATCTTGATAGTTTATAATTGATTTTAATCGTTTTTGACTTGATTTTATTATTAATATTGTTGAAACTGATAACTCAACATAACCATGAGATTCGAGAGTTATATTGAGTACATCTATTTCTACTTTATTTACATTTCCATTAATATTTTGTGATAAATCATTCAAAATAAAACTACCATCAATGTAATAATTATTTGTATCATTTTTTGTAAAATTCAATTGAATATTAATGTGTTTAATAGGATCAAATATTGTCTGAATATCAAAATATTGATAAATTATATTAGGAGTAGTATGATAAATTGTTACAAGTTCAATAATTCCTTTATTATTTGCAAGTAATTTTGTTGTAATGGAATATTTTTGAAAATAGCCATTGTTTGTGTTCAAATAAAAAATTATAGGTTGAAAATTGAATAAAACACTTTCCAAATAAATAGCATGTTCAGTTAATGACTGAAAATTTAAATTATAATTTAAATTAATCAATTGACGATTCCATATTTTTGTATTCAGAATGCCAGCATATTTCCAATGTATAATACTATCAAAAATAATATCACGTTCCCAATTGATGCTAAATATCTCGTTCACCATGATGGGTAGATGCATTGATATGAAATTTGTTTGACGCTTATTACTAGAGTTTCCAGATAGATACAATTTGAATGCGTGTAATAATGGAAATAGTGAAGTGAAAGGAACATGACATGTGAGGAGATAATCACGATCTTCTGATATACGATAACTGTATTTAATTGGTAATAGTTTTGTGATATTTTTTTTTATTAATAATTGTGTATATCGGAGTTCACCTACAAATAAACAACGGACATAAATAACAATAAATTATGTAATATTTCCCTTCTACCTATTTTGATATCATCTTTTGATAAATTTGTCCATGCAATCTCATATTTTGTAAGATTATTATACAAAAGATTGAAATAGACACGTTTGTCTATATCTGTTAAATCATATTCTGTATCGATATAATTTATTTGTTTATTATATAAATTTTGATTCATTTTGCCCCTCATTTTTCTAAAATGATTTGATAGTTTGGTATTAGCTATGTAAGATACAATTTCATTAGACAATATATCAAGTACAGACATATTGAAAGTCAATGTTTGTTCATCTAAAATATGGTAAGGTGGTATTTCTAATTGAATATGTCCTTGAATGAATGGTTTAAATGTCCATGTACTCAAATAATTTCTGCCCATTATCCATGGATCATTATCAACAGTGACTATTAATCTGGAACCATTATTTTTATACTTTAATTTCCATCCATAGGTTTTATCATTTAAATATGCATAACCATAAACTAAATAACCAAACAAATCAATTTTACATGTTTGAGCTCGTTTATACTCAACAGTGAATGGATTTGTTAAGTGAACATGTTTGAAGATTGTAAATAGTTCATCAATTTTTGAACTATTGTCACTCAACTGTAATGATGAATTTAAATGATAAACTGATGCTTGTGTAATAGAATAATTCGAGTATAATTTCAATGTCTGCAATCTCTTGTAAATAAAATTTAATTCGTTTAAAAAGTTAAATTCGTATTTGTTTCTTAGATTGACAATGACATTGAATTTTAACGTATCGCTATCTGATACATACAAACAGTCAATAGTTGAGAACATCTTTGAACTAGTAAAATTCTTATTAAACTTGTTTACAATGGACGAATATATTCTTATATTAACTAGATCAAAGTTACCTGCTTTTTCAGGTTGAATGTACCTTTTGACTCATACCCCATGCACTGTTTCTACGATCGGTGAATGAATGTTTAATTTTAAACTTGTATCATTTATTTTCTCTAAAAAAATCGTTCCTTCACTTTCGATTAAGCAGTGCTTGTGTACTACACGTGCAGTGATATCATATTCATGTAGTATTTTATGAGACATTTGAAATTGTCCATTAATAATTGTCTCATTATTGAACTCTGTTTCTACAAATGATTGTATTCCACTCTTTTCGCAGCTAAAATTTGACCTAAAATTGTGAAGATTATGGATTGTATCTTCATATACGACATCCAATAGAAATGCTTGTTGGTCATTTCTACGCATTGATTTGTAATTGATTGTTAATGTGGGCAATTTGTGTCCTTTGTCGATGTAAAATTGAACATGATTATCAAAAGTATTTACAAAAGTATAATTGAGTTTGGTATATAGAGAAAATAAATCCCAGTCATTGATTACTGTTGAGGTATAAAATGTCTTTGGAAAGTTTGACAATTCATCACCGAAGAACTAAAGTAAAATACAGAACTATTATGCGATAACGAATTTATACAAAACTGAAAATTTTCATCATTGGATGGATATCGGCTAAAGCGCGTAACTGTCACCCTTAGCTGCGGTGGGTTGAGCAATATTTTTTCTCTCAAACCAGCCTTAAAAGTATATCATTAGACGCAGTTTTTTACGCTGATTACAAATATCAACTTTAAAACGAACGAAACTCAAACTTTTAAATCGAAAATTCAAGTTTAAAATTAAGAAGTTTTTTTATTTTAATTTTCTGACCTACTTAGTTTTTTAAAAAGTTTCAGAAAGTATATCAGTGGATAACGAATTTATTTCTCTACAAAATGCACTATTGACTTTGTCGAAACAATCTTAAAAAACTCATTTTGCACACTAAACCAAGTTTTTGCTGGTTTTTGCCGAATTCGAAATGGTCCTTTTTTTCGAGCAATTCTACGAAAATCAAAAGCATTTCTCCCACCGTTCTTTTTTGCTTAGTTTAATAGAGGGCACTCGATTGCATAAGGCTCCGTGCAGATCAAGTTTATAGAAGTCTTTTTTACCGGTAGAAA